GAACAGCGTAGACCAACGTAGATCCGTAGTCCAACAATAGACATAAGTAGATCAGATACTGGTTGATCTTGCGACACGGCTACAGTATACACTTTTAAATACAACAAAACAAACTGGGTACGACGAGCTTCCAAGCTGAGGGTTGAACACTTCCTCTCTCGCGCCACTGTCACAACCACTTTTGCGTAGCTGATGCTGGCTATTTATTAGGGAATTAAAGGGGAAGCGCCGCTTCGGCAGGAGAAGCACTGAGGCGGTTCAGACAAATTCAGGACGGTCACAATGTTAACATTTACATTTACATTTTAGTCGTTTAGCAGACGCTCTTATCCAGAGCGACTTACAGTTAGTGAATAATTTTTTTTTTTTTATACTGGCCCCCCGTGGGAATCGAACCCACAACCCTGGCGTTGCAAACGCCATGCTCTATCAACTGAGCTACATCCCTGCCGGCCATTCCCTCCCCTACCCTGGACGACGCTGGGCCAATTGTGCGCCGCCCATGAGTCTCCCGGTCGCGGCCGGCTGCGACAGAGCCTGGATTCGAACCAGGATCTCTAGTGGCACAGTTAGCACTGCGATGCAGTGCCTTAGACCACTGCGCCACTCAGGAGACACGGCATATGTGCAGTAAGCTTGATAACAAATGTGCCTTTGATTGAACCCCAGCCTTAGGGCTCAATTCAATCCATATTGCTATTGAAATTTAAAGGGAATGTTCCTGCGTTTACGGAGACTGCGTTCACGGTAAACGCTGTATGTCGGCTAAAATAGGCGAAACGGATTGAATCGAGCCCTTAGTGACACAATCTGCCTTAATGTCTTTTAGACTCTAGTGGGTGGTATTCTTGCAGCTAATAGCCAATACAATGCCTTGGCAGTAGGCATTCCATTTCTGGGGACTGTTGGTTGTGAAAAATACGTTTAAAAAATTCAAAGACATCATGCAACCATGGTAAGTAGCGCTTAATCATTGACAAGACCCATCCTAGACGTTCTTGATCAGGTGATGGGTAATTTACGTTCCAAATTGCATTAATCGCTAGCGTTAAATTGTTTGCAATTCTTAACAGCTCAAAGCTGGAACATTGGCCATTGTTTTCTGCTACCATCTCATCTATTCTCTCCAGTAGATTTCTGACCTGCTGTTTGTTGGTCGCATCTTCGTTGTTAAAGACACAGTACCTGCCACCACACATCTCAACTATTTGTTTTAGATCCTCGTTTGCCTGTATTTTGTCTTCGATTTGTTGGTTTTTGAGTTTATCACCATGAGTGAAAAGAACCATTGCATATTTCAAAGCATCTTTATTATTATTATTATTATTATTATTATTATCTTTACATAGCTTTTTAAGTAGATAAAGCATCTCACTGTCATTGTGTGTTATCCTCCCAATCTCAAACACAAAGACAAAGGCATGTAGCCCTCGTGCAGAGAGCACGAACCCCTTCAACATTTCATCAAATACATGCTCAGCAGAGTATCTCTCATCAGAAAGACCAACTGTATCTATCACAGTAACTTCCCTTCCTGCCACCTGTGCTGTTTTGGATTCACTATGTGTGGTTACGGAGCCAAAGCCACAGTCAGACTTAAACTGTTCAGACCCTCTCAGATCGAGAATGGTGTTCCCTGATGCACTCTTCCCAACTCCACTTCTACCCAGCAACACGATTCTTCTGTCTTCTGTGTTTTCTGGGACACCTGTTGGATAACCATAGACAGTCATGAAAAAGACCCTTACTATAGATATGACTGTCAGCTTACTATTTGGTATGCACCCATGGATCTAGGTGTTGATAAACATGGAACTTGCTCTGGAAAATATGTAGCCTACATTTAATATCTTAATTTTGTGGTTCTAATTGCCTAGTGGTTTCTCATATCAATCACTATTTTTTTATTTAACTTACTTAAAAGGTCCCGAACAGTCAAAATCATGTTTTTCGTGAAATGTGAGGATATTTGTATGAAACCAGGTCAAAGGAGGACTACCAAAATAGGAAAAAATGACTGTTGCTTCTAAATTGATCAAGTTTGATCATAAAGTTAGTGGTCCCCTCCCCAATGTCAAACAGTTGGATGTAAAGTTTCAACTGAAATTGTCCAAGGTTAACTAGCTAGCTAGCTTGATAAACAGTGCTGACAATTCCATTATACAGACAACATTTTGTCTATATTGATGCTGTTACAATAACCAAACAGTTGGATAAACAAATCATTTGTGAAACCATGATGTGATGTATGACAGGATTGGATGTTGCATGCAATTTCAATGTTGTTTGAGTTGGTTTGTGTATCAATAATTGTGCTTGAGATAATCTCACTGCAACACTTCTCACTGCGTCCATGTTGCTTGACATAGGCATTTTCATAGAACCGCCAATCAAGGTGAGCTCCCGCCCACTCAGCCTACTAGCTCCCCACCCACTCAGTCTGTTTTTCAGACTTCCTGGTAGTTTGACGTCAAAGAAAAAGCACTTTTTCTCATTTTTTTTGCATTTTTATCTGGAAAAAAGATTATGAGTGATGTTTTAGTCACTCAAAAGGCTATTTTACATGGAAATCAGAATGACTGTTCGGAACCTTTTACCAAGAAAGACCCTTGAGTCTATAAACCTCTTTTGCAAAGACGACCTGCCAAATAATAAGATACTTACTCGATGTCAGGTGTCCCGATTTAGTCAGAAGCTCCTCAACCTGATCTTGACTTCCAGTGTCATTGTTGAACACATGGTATTTCACACCAAATCTCCGAACAACTTTTGGGAGCACACCCTCTTCATCTTCAAAGATGAAATCGTCTATTTTTATGCCTTTGAGAGCATCACCATGTGTGAACAGAATGTAACTCTTGTCTATTCCTATATCCCCCAAAATCTTCTCAATTTCCTTCACTATTTTCTGATCCTCCTCAGTGAACCTGTCTACCTTGAGTAGTACCAGAAACAGACAGGGAATGGGTGATTTAAGGGCATGTTGACACACTTCTTTAATTTGCTCTTCTACTTCTTCAGTACTGAGAATTCCTGGTGTGTCGACCACGAAGATTTTTCTTCCAGAGACCACACCAGTCTGCTCTGCACATGTTTTTGTCACAGACTTGAAGCTTAATCTTGATTCAAAAGCTTGCCTTCCCAGGATGGTGTTTCCTGATGAACTTTTCCCAGATCCTGACTTGCCCAACAGGACAATCCTGAGGGGTGATGTGTCCATCCTGGTTTACTATTACGTCACTGGGAAAATGGAAGGACAGTTATTGCAGCATAGGTAACTGGTTTGACAATAACCTTGCTGTGTAATTGTAAGCAATATCACTAAGGCGAGTGGAGGTTAAAACACAAACAATTGGAGTGTTAATCTATTGCATTTTTTAAATGTAATATTTAGGGTAATTACACAAACCAACAGGAATCAAAGTTGACTATATACTAGTCTACCTACACTGTAAATCCACATAACTGAAATGTAGCATTCAAATATATATAGAATGACATGAGACATTAAACTCATAGCTCTAGATACAAGAGACGTTTTAACTCCTTCTTGCTAATTGTTATCTTTCGCTCATTCCTGAACTTAAATCAAGATTGTACTATGCAAAAGAGTCTGTGTTCTGGTCATTTCAATAAATTATATAACAAATCGTTTTTTAACTTCCTGCTTTATAAATTGAAAAATGACCTTATACCGCTCCAAAAAGGTGGCGTAGATTGGCTATATTTAGGCCTACTTGCTCTAGTATCATTAAATTAATGACATTGAACAACAGTAGCCTGAACATTGCAGATTGTAAGAATTGTGCATTCAAATTGAATTTGTGATAGTCCGATTGAATAACTGCGTACTCTCAAGCAAAAATTACGCAATGCTCACCAGAAAAGTTAACCGATCATTACCACAAGTAACACATTAATGTATTTTATTTTGATTTCGGCTAGGCCTCCAGAACAGTACAACCATCTCTCTTGGCTTTACTTTCACTTGATATCGAAACTTAACAAAAGTGGATCGAATTTGTACTCAAATATTGATTAATGTTTTAAACAGTACGTGTAGCCTAATAAATCGGAATTAGTTGAATTGTGTAAAAGAAAACAGTAATTTGTCTGGCATTTTACCACTGTAGACTAGGCCTATATCTCTATTCGTCAACAAAATGGTTACACAACAGGGAGGGATACATTGTGCATTGTTGGTTCGATCTATACTCACCATCTGTTGATTGAGATGATTCCACTGATCCGTGATTTTACCATTCCATCACGGACCCCCTGAACATGGCTTAATTCTCTGGTTGAAATTAAATTATCTCAAGTTTTCTTAAGCGTGCCTAACATCGACACCAAGCTATTGCGCATGATATCCAGCGGAAGTCTGGGTTGTATTCGTCAGTGTAGCCGACGCCTTATTAAAACGTAGAAAAACGTTCTGCAACGAAAATGAAAAACGTTTCTTATTTAATAAGAGTTCACGTAGTCCCTCACTGTTTAAATCGGTTTTCTTCAATTTGGTAGCTCTTTGGGTGCCTATCGAATACAGCCCGTAGAGCATAAGAGACTTCAGTAGCTTCCAGAGTATAGTAAAACAGATATTGAAGAGTTATACAAACAATATCACAAAGGACAAATAGATAGATGTTTGATTATCCAAATGACTGATGAAATAACTTAACACTATAGGCACATCAAATAGGTTTTAATGTTGACAAAAAATAGACAATACTTGGATTAGAAAAATAAATACAAATTCATCAACAAGGCAACAATTGTATTTTCTTATACTTTGGTTACAGAATTAGAATGACCATTTCCTGTAGAAAAATGAGAAACAGGCCTACCAAATATACACATATCATTTGTGATTCTGTTATTATTTAAAGATCATTCAAATGTACAGTAGGGCCTATCATCACATGTTGTGATACAAAGTAGTTTACCATCACATCAATTGTGTGCATTCACTGCAAATGACCACTACTAGGCCTATACAGTAGTTAGTTCCATTTTAAGGACAGGGTCTCTGGGTATCGCCCAACAATGTCATCAAAGTCCTCAGTGTCTGGGACCTGCTCTACAACATATCGCGTTCTCTTCTTTAAACCATCATAAAATCTCTTTGTCTCTTGAATGCGATTGTCCCATCTCTTCTGAGTTCTCTCACTCTCTCTGTTTCTGCCCTCCCTTTCAGCCTCTTTTAGAGTCAGGTTTTCCTCCAGCAGTGCGCACATAGCTTCTTCATATTTTGATTTAAGCACCTTGACTTCTTCTCGTAGTTTCTTCTCATATACCTCCTTGAGCTTTGACTCTCTCTCCTCCAGCATTTTGGACACTTTTTGGTATGTGTAGTTAGAGTAGAAGTCCCCATTGTTGTCAGCAACCATGTCATCAATCTTTTCAAACAGCTCACAGACTTGGGTACGGTCGTTTGTTTTCATGTTATTGAAGATGTGGTACCTATTCCCGAATGTCTTCAAAATCAGCTTGAGGTCTTCACCAGCTTGCTCCACATATTTTTCGATGCCCCCTTTAACTTTGTCTCCATGGGTGAAAAGGATCATGGTGTATTTTTTGGCATCTTTCCCAAATATCTCCTCAACCTTTTTCACTGCACTTCTCTCCTCCTCTGTGAAGGTAGCTACTTTAATCACAACTATGATGGCGTGGGGACCTGGTGCTGACATGTTGACACATTTAGCTATCTCTCTCTTCACTGTCTCCTCAGAGAGAGAAGTATCAAACAGGCCAGGTGTGTCCACTATGGTGACCTCTCTGCCCCCCACCTCCCCTGTCTCTTTAGAACACTCTCTGGTGACAGAGTACCCACTGACAGCTGATCTGAAGGCATCTCTCCCCAGGATTGTATTGGCTGATGAACTTTTTCCAGCACCAGTCTTCCCCACCAGCGCAATTCTGGACATGGACACTGAAAGAAAGTAAATGCAACCTTTCAGTACTGTGATTTGGAATTGTTTGAAATTGTAGTTTTCGGATTGTTGGATATTGTAGCGACCTTAACCCAACACCTAGCAACCTCATCAAGAGCTCTTGGTATAATGGTTAAGGTGTTGGCTTGATGGTCACTGGACCCGGGTGTGAGTCCCGGTTGGGGCTACCCTCTCAAATATCAGTCAGTTCATTCATAATATGATTTTGTGAGCTAAATAAAACAAGGGATATTATGAAATAGCAACAAATAATGGTAAACAAATAAATACAATTATTTATATAATTATAACTTTGTCATTGAAAGTTAATGGTTCTAGGCTACTACTGACAGCTTTTATAAATATTGCAGTATTTCCTGTAGGCTATAGATAAAGTCATTCTTACTATTGGGACGTCTACCATCAACGCTGGACCTTCTCTGCACTGCTTTCAGCGGATAATCTTCTGCAGAAGAGAAACAGGAAATAATTGTTTTTGATAACAAAAGGTTTGATAGAGGTGGCCTTTTAATTGCATAGTCTTGACCAAGTTTAAACATGTGCAGTCAATGACTGATCCAAATATGACATAGCTGATACTGAGAAGCGATGAGTGAATAGAGAAGTGAACGAGAAATAGGCTACTCAACCTCACGCAAAAATACGCAATGGGTAGGCCTAGCTATTAAGTAAAACAGCACGATCGTTTTACTTAGGCTTTACTTTTACTTTCACTTCATATGGAATCGAAATGTAACAACAATCTAGCGAATTTATAGTCAAAAGATCAGTTTGAACCAGACTGTTGAGTCTAATAAACCTAATGAAGAATTGTTTGAGATAAAACAAAGACTATCACTGACATAACAATAATGTGTCATGGGTCTCCAACCCTGTTACTGGAGAGCTACTGCCCTGTAGGTTTTCGCTCCAACCCCAGCTGTAACTAACCTGATTCAGTTTATCAACCAGCTAATTATAACAATTAGGTGCGCTAGATTAGGGTTGGAGTGAAAATGTACACGATGGTAACTCTCCAAGAACAAGGCTGGACAGGCTATAGCCAGCCTGCGCGAACGAAATGTTCCAATAACCAGAAACATGAACACGCGAGTTTAAACAAGAGATAGTCACATTGTGCATTGTCTAATACTCACCATCTGTCGATTTAGAAGATGCCATTGATAATTTAAATAACAAATATCTGTGATTTTACCATCCCATCGGATACTCTGAACATGTTGAGATTGAGGTGATAAAATGCTAAATTGCTAAAATGCTGTTTGGCACCTACCCAGATAGGAAGCCAAGGTACAGTAAGTGGGAGGATCTCAATTGCTAACTCCTCTCATCTCAAAACCCATTGGAGGAGTAGGTCAATCCGACGTCTGCATTGGCCACACAGCATGTACGGAGATGCGGCCTCTGCAGAAGTCAGGGCATTCATACTTCTAGCCCTTCGCGGAGCAGAGCAGATCCAAAGATTTTTATAACTAACCCATGATAGACCAGAGCCCGTCTTCTTCTTCTTTGGTATAATCGCGTTCGCAACAATTATGTTCATTCCGCCACCTACTCTACAGGTGGTTAATAAAGATCCCAAAAAATGAAATAATGCGTGGTAAAAAATATATATTCCAAAAAACCCATACAAACTATCTAACGACATTTTAACTAAACTAAATCAGCCTGCTTTTCTTTTCTAATCAGGTCGCTACACAGGCTCAGAAGGATCCTGTGAGGGTGGGACATTTTCTGGCAACAGCAGTACTTGGAGGCCCAAAAACTTCTCAGCTGCAGGTATAACGATGTAAAGCTTCCTTGAATTATTGGACACTTGTGCAGTACAATTAATAACGGTCGCTTTAAATCCACCTTCTTCACCGTAAGAGTATCCAGATCCAGGGGCGTAACTTTGGTTTTAGGAGTTGGTCTGTTAAAAAAAGTTTTTTCATTTTTGGGGCATCTAAAGCTCATTTCCTGCATTTCTACAAGATCTAAATATGACCCCTGGCCTTTCTAGCAGTCTCTATTTAGAGCAAAAAGTAAGCAAAAATGCCCCCAGTCATCAAGCTAGGTAAGAGATCATTATTAAATATGTTTAAGTGATTGATAAGACTGAGCTAGATCAATGATAATTTAATCATCAATATTGTGTTACATCTTTAACCAATAGCCTAACAAATGAACAACTCTTACAAATAAATCACTTTTTATTTTCTTTATTAAGACATCCTCTATTTCAAATTTTAGCCAGACCGCCCAGCCAGCCCGAGCCGCCTGCACGCCTGACCCCCACCAGTCTAGTCAATAACTCAACTCTCTCCCCAATAACTTCCTTCCAATCTTTTTATTGATTTAAAAACCAAAAGTGTAATACAAACACACATACACCTACACATTAACACACAGAAACAGTAACTTCTCCATATAATTCATATCATAGGCCTAATAGCACTGTAGAGCACTTTTTGTAGAGCACTTTTTGCACACAATATAGCTGGGTCACCCTGTCCTGCCCCTAGGGGTCCACGGCCCTGCAGCGTCCCAACCCAACACACACCCCACTCAGTTTTAGGATCAATGATGAATGTTGCACTAAGGTTTCAGGTGTTAGGCCAAGGCCAGAGTAACAACCAACAGTACGGCAGACCCCCAGGGCCAGGACTGAGCAGCCCAGCAGCTAGGGATTTCCTAAATAGGTATCTCCCCTGATGTGGGCATGTTTTCAATACAGATTCCTTTTGTCGTACAGTATTCCACATAAGGCATCCAAACCTTATGAAAGTTGCACAGTATACCCTTAATCTTGTAATAAATAAAATCTAGTGATACATACCTTGACATTTCTGCTCTCCATTGTGGGAGGATAACCAACCTTCCAATTACTGGCAATGCATTTCTTAGCAGCTATAAATGCTAAGTTACACAGTTTCTTCTGATAACAGTCTCCAGTATCAACATTTCCAAGCAAACAAAAACAGGGAGAAGGGAGAATCTGTAGACATGCTGAGATAAAAGAACATACTCTTTGCCAGAATTCAGCCAGCCTTCACGAGACCATAACATATGCAAATATGTCCCCTTTTGAGTTTTACACCTCCAGCAGAAGAATTACATTTCTGAGTGCATGATATTCAGTTTCACTGGCATACAGTACGTTATATGGATGGTCTTAAACTGCAGTAATTTATGTCTGAGATTATATGATTGGGCATTCTAACATATCTGTATCCATTCATCATCAATAGCATCTCCCAGGTCTTCCTCACATTTTTGTTTGACGTGTCATCAGGAAAAGCCTCTATCAACCCTTGATACAGTTTGGAAATCAACTTTAGAGGTTTGTCTGACTGCCTTAAAATATTTTTAATCTTTGAAGCTTCTTGCTTCTCCAGTGTTTGCTCCACAGAGAGAATAAAGTGTTGTATTTGCAAAAGTTCCCTGGCTGCCAGAATCTGATGAGACCCCTGTCACCATCTGATCCTGCTCAGATGAGGCATGACAAATAATTACCTTGGTGTACATTTATACATTATATTATCCAATAATTTAATCAATGGATCAATAATTGAAATGACCATTATGCCCAGATCCCAGACTGTAGCTTACCAATAAACTCAATATAGAACTTTGTATCCATTCACTGACTTATAATATACAGCAACATTTACCTGAGCTCCGTAGACTGGTCTTTCCTGCCACCATCTGATCCTGCTAAGACATGATGAGCATAGTGCACCATGACAGTGAAGCCTGTAGAGCTGTTTATATCATGTCAGTGTGAAAAGTAGGGTATTAACTAGGGAAACTGACAGATCAACAACGTTACATTGCAATACTGACTGACTAATAAAAACGGATATTGCGCTGCAAAAATGCTGGCTAAATCGTTTAATTCAGGTCTAGTGTGATTGAGGCAAAAATAATAGCTAAAGTTAATGAGTTAGCTAGCTAGCTAGCTAAAGTTTGCCAACTTTTGGCTAGCTCTAGCTAATGGTACAATGGTATATCATGAAATTTACTTCTGTTGAAACGGGACAAAACAAAGGTTACAAAACATTTCCATACACACAAGAGCTGTTAGATTCTGCTTCCTGACAGACAGCTAGAGGCTAGCTAGAGCTGAACTGGCTGTGGTAGCTACCAGCTAGCTAACTAAACTTGCTGCTAGTAGTTCATTCACATTTATTTATTTATTTAACTAGGCAAGTCAGTTAAGAACAAATTATTATGGGGCGGCAGGTAGCTTAGTGGTTAAGAGCGTTATGCCAGTAACCGAAAGGTCGCTGGTTCTAATCCCCGAGCTGACTAGGTGAAAAATCTGTTGATGTGCCCTTGAGCAAGGCACTTAACCCTAAATGCTCGTGTAAGTCGCTCTGGATAAAAACATATTTACAATGATGGCCTACCCTGGCCAAACCCTCCCCTAACCCGAACGATGCTGGGCCAATTGTGCGCCGTCCTATCACGTCCGGTTGTGATACAGCCTGGGTTCAAACCCGGGTCTGTAGTGACGCCTTAGACCGCTGCACGCTCAATTTGCTCTTTAGATACCCATGATATCAACACCATACCACTCCTGGTTACTTTGACTGCATCCACTTTTCCCAACGCCTTCTTCACCATCCTCATGACTTCAAAAGAGTTTCCCAAATGAACATCCTTATCCAAAAAATGTACTCATCAAGCAACAATTCATCAGACTAATTTTCCACCATTTTTTTGCCGTTTTTGATTCATTCTTGGACTTCATCGTTGTCCACTCATCATTCTCACTAATTGTACTTGACACACTTTCATCTTCAAACAACACTTCTGCTTTCGCCTTCTCAACTTCCTCCTGTCAAGCGCACACTACCGCTCCACCAGAGCCTATCTTCTTCTTCTTCGATGAGGTTTAACAGCGTTTGGCATCCAATTTGTTGCATTACCGCCACTTCTAGACTGGTTTACAACTCCCTTATATTTTGCTTGAAAAATAAAATAAAATAAAGACACTACACTCACAAATTCAAAATTATTATTAATAATTAACACCACCCCACTCCACTATTTAAATATATTCACTCCTACCTCATGCCCTCAACCTGAGATGATGGAACATCACCACTTAACACTCCCTTTAATTATTCTGATGTCAAGTCTCGCACACCCAAATACCTCTCTGTAGCTGCCACCACAACCTCCATTTTCTTAGACTTACGTTCCATCCCTTCAGTACAATTAATAACCATTGCTACTAACGCTAAAAACCCAATCTTACTGAAACATATATCATTTGCTTGCCTATCCCACTGTACTGGTACATATCTACTACTCTCACCACTCCCCCCCCCTTGACCCCTCTTCCTCTACTTTCTTCACTGCCTCAGCATATGACAACTTCACTACTCTTACCCTGGAAACCTCAACCTGCCTCTCTCGCACAGAGCATTTCTGATCCCCAGCCCCATGGGCACCCCTACAATTAGCACATACCACTGCTTTCCCCAATGCTACACATTCCTTTGTCTCATGCCCTTCTGCACACTTCATCAGAGCCTATCGTTTCTAATGGGAGAAAATAAATCATAGTGGGCAGAACAAGCAAGGAGGTGGGCAGAGCCAAGCACGAGCTAGTGAGATCCTATTGGCGCGTTCTAGCATTTATTTGCATAGAACGCCTACTCTGTGAAGTGCGCGTGTGCAATAACTCAATTCGACCCTTGCACTCCTAAACAACGCATTTTTTTGAAACTTTGGGAAAGGGTAAAGTCAACAAAACGCAGTCCACTGTGTGTTACAGATTCTAGTTTTGGAAACAGAAAACTGTATGGAGATCAAATGTTTAATCGATGAGAAAATGTACAGAATGTCGGCCAAAATCTATCTTGCTCTATCTTCTCCCACTGCCTGCCACTGGGCTTCCTCTCATCACCATATTTGGTAGTGAGTGTAAACACCAACCGGATCCTTCACATTTATACATCCAGTGAAATATCTGGCTCATTGTTCTATTTGTGGCAGAGCTGTTGTGAAGGAAGTTCTCTTCTTGTTCTTGTTCTTGTTCTTGTTCTTGTTCTTGTTCTTGTTCTTGTTCTTGTTCTTGTTCTTGTTCTTGTTCTTGTGTATCATGGCAATTTTGTTTGTGCATGCCGCCATCTACTGTGCGGTAGTGTGTGGTTAATCACTTTACATTTTCTGATCCAAAAATAAAATAGAGAGGGAAAGGAAAAAATTGCACCACCAACTAACCCTACACCTATATAGCACTATTTTTAAAATAAAA